ACACCCTTCAAGTACGACCAGTGTGACGAGTATGACCATTAAGATACTGATAGAGACAAAACTCTCATATGACTTGATTTCAAACCGAAAACCTAATTTTCCTTAACTGTAAAACTCGAATACTATAACTCATTCGACTAAGATCTTGTCTACCGTAAATATTTGTCCAAGTACACATATATCAAATTAAAAAAAAACTAACTTTTTCGGTGAGATATAATGAAAACTTTACTTGAAAATCTTCGCAAATAGAAGCCAAAAACGATGAAGACGAAGCCATTTTGAAGTGAAGAGAAAAAATCGCACAAGAAATCGCCAATAAAATTGGCTGGAGAATGTCCGTCAGAGAAAAATCGTGAAGAAGAGAGGAAGAAGAAACTGAACAGTTTTTTTTAACTTAATAATTTTTTATTTGACAACTATCCACTTTCTCTCTCTTTTGTCATCTTCATTCAGATTATTACACGTGTAGTTTTTAAAAGGGTAGGATTGTCTTTTTAACGTTTTTCAATTTTTTTTTAAAACCCTAACTGTTCAAGGGTATGTCTTGAAGTCTATGTTACGTTTTAAAGGTATATTTGTAATATCCCCGGTTCGAGCATCCAATGGGAATAAAGTTAGCTTTTAAAATCCAATCGTGGAATTAAAAAAAAGGTATTTTTTTGAAATTTAAAAAAAAACAATTAAAGATGTGAAATAGTTTACAATATCATTTGGATTGTATATTTTTTTATATAGCGACGAACCCAATTGCTATCATTCGGATGCACCATCTTAATACGCTCTCCGTCCACGTCAATGAGTCTGTGACACACACATGAGAAGTAAATCGACGTAATTGATAGACGACATGTGAATGTAGACAATAAATTGAAATCGTACCATCTCAGATGAAGAGCGAAATCCTTACCAACTCACCTGAACTTTCGCATTTAGTTGTATAATTGGTCTCTAAAAAATTATAACTAAAGCGTTATATCATCTTATATTTTTAAAACTGGGTTTGGTTTCGTCTGTTCGATTACTGTTACGGAATATCATGGAGGAAATATACGAAATATGATGATCACATCGAATTGACAAAAATGAAATCTTTCAGCTGAAAATTTTTAAAAAGAGAAAAATGGTTTCATCGACAAAGAGCATCCGATGAGAATAAAGTTAAGATTTATTTAAATCCACCATGGAAGAAACGGATAACTTACTCTATCGATCAACCAAATTCCTATTGTGTATTATACTATTTACATCTTTTTCTTTTAATTTACAAGCTCATGACGTATAATGGATAATACTATAATTAAAGTGCGAAAAATCTAATCAATATTCAAATTGAAATAAAAGTATCAATCTTCTAACTCGTGCACAATGTAGGCCCCTGTTTGCAAATTCCCCCCAATGATAATTATTCAACTATTTCAAAAAATATTCAAGAAATTAAAAAAAAAAACATCAAGAGTACACCATCTTATTAAACATTACAAATATAAGACGAGATACAAGATAAATACATTATATTATAATATTGTAGAATTATCATAACCAAACTTATAATGAGGTAAGATCCATATAACACTAATTAGAACGCGAGAAACGTCAGTAGGATAGAAGTCGCAAACGCAGACGCGAAACGCAGAGGGCTTGATAGATTAGTTCGATTTCCCGACGAGGATCTGCCTCCGCGGTAGCGTCCGAGACCGCCTTTTCCTTTTCTGGTGAAAACGCGAAAATCGCGGCGATTAGGGATATCAAAGTTACAGTGATTAGAAAGCTTTCGACCCGAAAAACTCATAAAGGGTTGGAGATTTTCGGATGAAATCGGTAGAGATTGAGAGAGTAACAAGAAAACCATCAATGCAAAGCAACGTAGTGAAGACGATCTCATCTGGTTTGCTTTGACCAAAAAAAAATTGTTTTTTTTGGACAGAAGAGGTTTGGCGAATTGTGTGCGATATGTTTGGTTTGGTCGGGCTATGATTTTATAATTTTTTTTTCGTAAATATTCTTTTTACATTTCTCGTTTTTCGAAAAGGGTATTTACATGTTTCGTTTTAATATTCTTTTTACAATTTTTTCCAACAATTCGAAATGGCAAAAAGTTAATGGAGTGAATCTCTACAAAGGAGGAATTATAGAATTTTATAATTTTTATTTCGATCATTTATTAATATGATTTAGATCGTTTTTTTTACAGATCAATTACATTTTTTATGTAAAAATATTTTTATAACATTAACAAGAGATTCACAAGCTGAAAACCGAAAATGATGTTATTCACTTTATGAAATTGGCTATAGAGATTATCAAGTGACCAATGATAACTATCTGTCATCGTTTGATTCCTTTTTTTTTCTAAACAAATTATTCGATTCGATTTTATTTTTGGGTGAAAATAAGACAGAATAAAAAGATTTGCGATGAATTGTGGAATATGTTCTTGTCGGTGCAATGAACTATGAAATGCAATTTAATGTGGTCAAAGAAATTAGTAGTATTTATAATATGTTATTGAGGCCGTTTATGTAATTGATAATTACTGAGATTATTATTTTATTTAATTTATAAAAATGTCATAATATGATAAAAGTTTTAAAATATTTTTATTTACCTTTTTTATTATTATTTTCTTGAAAATATTTTTGAAAGTATTTTTCATCAATTTAATCTATTTATAGGTTATACACACGCACACCCGAAAATATTAGGAGACTATATATATCTCTAATGATAAGACGAAAATTTCACACCAAACATTATTTTCAGTTATTTTTATAGAACAAATAATTTAATTACACAGAGAATAAAGCAAACCAAAACGAACATATGACAAATTTCATGGAAAATCAATAGCAGAAAATGGTATAATACGTTATACAACATCGCAATACCATCACAAATAAATGATATATATATCAGCATAGATTCATAACGCCGCTAACGTCAATAACGCGGAAGCGACAAAGGCGCAGCCGAAGCGGAAAGGGTTGGAGAGAGGATCAAGTCGAGAAGACGAAGATTTGCGGCGTTTCTTATTCTTACCGCCTTTGCCACGCAGTCTTCTGACATGAAGATGGTAACGATGAGTTTGGTCGGAGTTGCCTTGCTCCCCAAGTTTCCTCACGTCGGTTTCTTCCTCGTGGCTCTGAGATGAAATCTCAAGCGACTGCGAGAGTAATAAGATGATGATGATCGATGAACAATAAATTATCCACGGCCTCATCTTTCGCGTTTTATTTTGTTCGAATCGTGATTTCATAGACAAATCTGTTTCTAAGCAAATGTGTTTATATAGACAATTAGCTCCGACAGTGGCGGATGCACGTTAAGGGCAATGGGGGCAAAGGCCCCCATTAGTTTAATTAAAAACTGTATTTTTCTATGTAAATTTTTACAAATTTGCAAATAAAATTAGAAATGCCCCCATTTATAATAGAAAAAATTATGTTTGCCCCCTGTTGAATAATTTTCTAAATCCGCCACTGGCTCCGAGAATTGGTCCGATCCCCGAAATTTTTTAGGTATCCTTTAGAGATGACCGATATGGTTAATAAACCATCTCCATAGAATAAGGTATAACCGTAATCGAATCAAATTCGACATAAAACCGAATTGTCATGATTTATAAACTAAAAAAAATATGTATAAAGAAAGAACCAAACCCAATAAAAAAAATAAACGAAAAGACCAACTTTTTTTAAAAAAAAATGAATATTTTTACCAATAAAAGTTGATCCCGAACCGAATTCAATATACAACCGAAAAGTTATAGTTTTTCTAAAGGTTAAATTACTGAATCTTAATATAACTGAACAAAACCCGAACCAAAATTCGAAATGACCATATGTAATATCCGTACGTATCCGTACCCGTGTTTCTGAGATAATTCGTGTTAATATTTTTTTATCTCATCGAATTTGGTTATGCACGGTATCAAATCACAAGTTAAATATCCATTGGAATTCGAACCCGAATCTTAAATATCTAAAATTTTAAAAATTCTTTGAAAAATTAATGAAACTAAAAACCATCCAAATACAAATTTAAAATCAACTAGGAAACTACCAAACCCTAAGAATTTTAGATTTTTAAAAACCTAATATGACATGTCTATATATATTTTTTCGGATAATATGATCATTTTGGTATCTAAATAATATTATATTCAAATGCGGCTGCACGGATATTGCGATGTCAAAGACCATTCTCATGGAAAATTTCAAATGACAATGATGGAGACAACGTCGAAGGATCATTAACCAATTCATTGCAATATCAAATGTCTACCCATTTCTACAATTTTGACAATCTCTTGCCTTCTCGAATTTGACATTATAGTTAAATTAACACACTTAATCTTCGTGATAACTCAAATTATTAAATCTTATAATTAAAACTTTAAAAAAAACATCACATTTACCCTTACGCTAAGGTAGAATATTTTTCAAAAAAAAAAAACATTTTATCTATTCGGGGGAGAAGACAATACTAGTTTTATTACACATTGTAACTCTAGTTACTAGGTTCGGTGGCCAAAAATGACGTTTTAGATATTTTTACTTTGGAATTTTCAAAGGAAATGGACAATTTAAAATAAAATAAGAAAACAAGAGTCCATGTTCATTTTCGAGAAAAAGTAATAAGGAGACGAAATTTAAGTCGGGCTACATTACATATGCAGCTCATGCACGGAGCGTCTAAATAATTCGTGCGCACAACAAATCTTGTAACCATTTTTGCCATGTAAAATCCACGTCACATAATTAAAAAAAGGAACCCGATTTAATTTCTTTTTTAATTCAAGATATCTATTTTTATTAAAATTAAATTGTCGTATAAAAAAGTACATAAAATCTATACATGCTTTGGGCATTCAAGAGCGACAAAAACAACTTCGGCTCCAAAACCATTTCAAGTAAAACACTCTGTTGTTATCTGTTGTTGTTGGGCTTTTTTTTTTTTTTTTTTTTTTTTTTTTTCATTTTTTTTTTTTTTTTTTAGATCAACGGAAGGATAATCTCAATTAAACTATACAAAACCCGCTAGAAAATTCGGTGAAACATAATGTAATCAAGGTTTCACGTGTGAAATTCGTCCTGAATTCACCCGAAAAATATCAAGTTTCGGATTTAAATTTATAGATATAAATAAATTTGGGCTTTCGAGACGGACTTAAACTCCACTTCAGAACGGTACAAAAACCCGATTATTTTTTTCAAAACAAATGCAAAAAAAATATCATTATACAAATGAATTATTAAAACAGACCTGCCTAACCTAGCCTAGTTCGAGTCCAAACCTGAATCTTATAGGGCTGAATTTCGGACTTGGGATCTATAGATCCAAACAAATTCGGGTTGGATCGAACCACAACTCAAAACCTTTGAACCGAGTACGGGCTCAGGTTGGGTCGCACCGGCCCATCCCGTTTGACAGCCCTAGTGAAAATGTTATGAGTTAAATGAAATCAAGTTTTATTAGAAGAAAGGTGAATAAATATCAGCAGCAATGCCATATGTTACAGGATGAGAACACTCTGTTTGGGGGCTGAAACTCCTAACTCTTTTGCTTATTCATGTTACAACAGAGACCGTTACCAAAAATCTCCGCAAGAGCAAACTCCGTCCTGGAAGTGATGGAAACGATTTGCGTCTCTAACAACAATCACCCTCTTTGTGATCTTCGAGATGAATTTAGTCGCGGAGTGACAATCTAAACAAACCCTAAGATTCTTTATGATCCGGATTTCGGTCCCTGGTTCAGTAGCTATCAGTCCAAAAGCTATGGCCAGCTTCTCGCTGTGAACCTTCACCATGAGCTCCCTCTCTTCCTCTTCCACGTCGTGCAAAGCCATATCAATCTCGGGGGTGTACCCGGCCTCTCTCATCTTCCCCTCAAGCTTCTCCAGCCTCGCGTATATTTCCTTTGCCTGAGGATGTGACCGGTCACCCGAGGTAAAAACATGAGGTGTCTCCCCTATTTCTATCAACGTACACCCGGGAGTCTTGGCTAGTTTCTTCTTCTTCGCGACTTGCCTGACCGTTGCAGCCTGCGGATAGTTCCTCTCGGCGGAGAATATGTTGGAGAGTAACACATGGTATCCTACATTTTCCGGGTCTAACTCAAAAAGCTTCTCAGAGACGGTACGGGCCAGATTCGTGTTCTTGTGAGTCATACAAGCGGCTAACAGAGTGCCCCACACTGGAGGGCCCGGCTTAATCGGCATTGCCTCTATAAACTGTAAGGCTTTCTCGAGATGTCCTGCTCGGCCTAGAATATCAACCATACACGCGTAATGCATGTGTGATGGCTCGAAACCATACTGGTGAATCATCGAATGGAATATCTCATCACCTTCTTTAACTAGACCAGCATGGCTGCAAGCGTATAATACACAGAGGAAAGTGGCTGGTGTCGGTGGAATACTCGAACTCAACAGCTCGTTGAAGATCTTCAGACCTTCCTGCCCGTGTCCGTGAAGGCCATAACCAAAGATCATCGCGTTCCATGTCACCACGTTCTTCTCGGGCATCAGGTCAAATAACCGGCGTGCCTCTGCAATGCTTCCACACTTTGCGTACATATCGATCAATGCAGTTGACACGAATATGTTAGACTTGAAACCCTTGTTCTTCACTAAATCATGAACATGTCTTCCCAAGCTCAAAGTCCCGAGCTGAGCACAAGCTGAGAGAATACAAGTGATCGTCACAGGATTTGGACTCATGGCACACCTCTGCATTTCCTTGAAGAGAGATATAGCATCCTCTGTCAAACCATTTTGAGTGTAACCCGAGATCATCGCGTTCCAAGATGCCAAGCTTTTGTCTGGAGACTCGTCAAAAAGCTTCCTGGCTGATGCCATCTCATTCAATTTACTATAAACTGTGGTTAACGCAGTCGAGACTGTGGTATGATACACAAAACCAGACTTCAAGCTGAAAGCATGAATGGCACAAGAAAGCATAAGATGGCTATAGGGCGAATCGACTGGAATCAAACCCACCAGTGTGCTCGAGTTCATTCTCTCTCCCGATAAAACGAGTTCCTTGAAAATCCTCGATGAGAGCTCGCTCTCACCATTGAATGTGTACCCAGCAATCATGGCATTGTAAGCTACTAAATCCGGTCTACGAATCTCTCGAAACAGACTACTTGCAGTGTTAATCTCTCCGCATTTCGAATACAATGAGATAAATCCTGTAAGAACAAAAATGTGACAACTGCACCCTGTTTTTGTCGCAAGACCATGGATTTGTCTCCCGAGTCTCAGCTCCTGCAACTCAGCTACAGAAGGAAGAACAGAAGTCAAAGAGGAGGAATCAAAACGAGGATTCCCTCCATTGATCAAGCTCCTGAAAACTGCAACAGATTCTACGAACACTCCGCTCTTGTGGAACCCAGATATCATCGTATTGCACAAGATCGTATCCTTGTGAGGCAATCTATCGAACACCTTTCGGGCATAGTCTACGCGCCAAAACTCGCAGTACATACCGACGATGGTGGATCCAACGAATAAATCCGAGCCATACCCATCAACCGTCGCTTGCCCATGCCACACCAACCCAGCCCTCTCGTCCTGAAAACCCGAAGCAGCGGTGATCGCGGAGGCGTAAGTGAAGCTATCTGGCATGAGATTGGTGAATTTCCTGATGTGGGTGAACATCGAAATCGACGAGAGAGGCAACTCGTTAGCGGAGAAGCTGCGAATAACGACATTGAAGAGGAAGAGGTCAGGTTCTGAAACGGAGAGGAAGAGATCGCGAGCGTAGGACATGGCGCCGAGGTCTGAGAGTCGTTGGATGAGCTTGGTGAGCAACGCGACGTCGTTTCGGAAGCCATGAACAAGGATCTGAGCGTGGGTTTGGGTAAGGTGAGAGACAGTGCTGGATCGTTTGAAGAGATCGAGGAGCAAATCCTTGTTTCGTGTGCGGCAAGAAACTCCGGCTTCTGCGATTGCAGGCCGTACCGCTCTTAGAAGCATTTGGCTTTTGGTGCAAACGACCAATGACGCGTTTACGAATTTTCTTATTATTCAAAACTTCTGCAATGTAATTATTTATTCATTTTTTATTATTAATATATTTATGTATATGTATTGTATATATTTATTTATTTATTATTTTTAAATTCTACATGGTCAGGGTGACTCAGATTTTTTTTTTTAGTACGTAGGACTCTTTGTCTCTGTGGACGTTTTTTTTTTTGCCAAAATCTTAAAAATAGAGAAATCTATATATATTAATAAAAGAGTTTAAAGGATTGTGGTGAAGCCACCTCATCTCCATGTCATCATCTAGGTGGCAAATATTTTTAAATTAATTGTTTAATTAATGTGGCAAATTTTTTAATATTCATATAAAATTTTCAATTGCTTTATGATATATAATATAAAAAATGAATAAAACAAATTGTTATATTTTAAAAATTATTAATCTATATTATATATAAAATTCAATTTTGTATTTAACGTGATAATTTAGAAAAACTCCAATTCTAAAATAATTCTAAAACTACAAAATCTGTTACTTTAATTAAAAAGTTGTGTTTGACTAAAAAAGAAAAGTCAATTTAAATTATTTGTCTCGTAATATATTTGTACACCTTTATAAAAACGATTTAATTTAAAAATTATTAATCTATGTTGTATAAAATTATTAATCTAGAATTTATTGATCCACTAATAATCATATTTATTGTTTAGAAGAGGGATATAGAAAAATCTTAATGTATTAGAACAAAAAAAACCGTTCCAATAGAATTTATTGATCCACTAATAATCATATTTATTGTTTAAAATAGGGATATAGAAAAATCTATACTAAAAATATTGTATCTTCATAATACTATTGGTTTTGGTAAAATGTTTGAGAATATTTAATAACATAAAAAAATTAAAAAAATAAAACAAAAACGGTTGCCAACTCAACGTGAGCACACTAAGCATCACATTTATTATTTACTCTTTTCCTCATTAATTCCATGAATCAATCCATACACTCAAAACGATGTATTCCTATTTGTATATAGGTGGTGCATTCAGCTCGATCCAACTTTGACCTTTCCTTACAAATACAGGGCAATAATGAAATTCGAAGAAAAATTCGAAGAGAGGCAGATTAAAGAAGTCATTTCAGATATGGATAATATCGGGTCATTGGTCGTTTTTCAACAAATGCTGGAGAGTTACGAGGTTTAGGCATCCTCTTCTTCTTTCTTCTAATTAAGGTGATAAGAGGTTTTCAAATTGGTTGGCGGAATTGCGATCTAACTATGTATTCAGTGTTAGTTTGATAATGTGTGATATATCTTGCAGATTGAATCGCTAGGGAGCCGCATTGAGGTGGGTCATGTCGCTACTTCTGAAGCATAGAAGTTTGTATATGAAGGTTGGATCTTATATGGCATGGGTCATATCGATCCATACTTCACTGTGATTGTCATTCCTTATGTAATGTTTTTCCCTCTTTTCAACCTCATAAACTATTTTATTAATTTTATTTCGATTTAGAATGTATTTATGTGTTTTTTCAGGTGACGAAACTACAAAGAGAGCTAGAAGATGAGTAGACATTGATTGAATAAGACTTTACATGCGTTGTTGCGTGTTGCTCTTACTTTCTTATAATTCTCTTTTAAGGTTTTTTCAAGTCTTGTATTTTTATATTGCAAAAGATTGTCATTTTCCGTCTACATGTTTTGTTTATAAAGTTTATGAGATTCAAATGTTGTGTGTGGAGATATTGATCTACATGGTTTGTTTTTTTTTCTTCAAATCATGTTTTATCATATATTATACATATATATGATCATGCATAAAATGGTTTTTCGGTTTTGTTTATATATATATGTGTGTATTTATATATAGGAGAACATCCAAGAGGTTTCAAAATGCACGCGTTTGAAGGGGAACTTATTACATATGCAAGATGTCCACTTGACAAAGCAAGTAGATATAATATATTATACAAAAAAAAAGTAGATATAATATATAGTTTCATTAAAATTCTCATTGCTAACATGTGATTATATCTTAATCTTTTCGTCATTTTTCCCCATTATAATAAGTCCAATTTATTATAATCTGATTCCCAGCCTATAATCTAATTTCTCTGAGGTGATCCCGAAGAATAAGTCTTCAATTCCTTTAACAAGTTTAGAAAAATCCAAAGCAAACCCGAAGACGATAAAATTTATAGAAAAATATTAACCTTTGAAGAATTCAAGAGAATATAGTCTTTAAAACAAAATGTCGAAGGCAGGAGGAAAAAAACCACATAAAAATCATGAACACATCCAATCTCACATTTAATGGAAAAGAAAGCAAACTTGTATAATATTTTAATATATCTTAATACGATTAAATACTATATTCATCATAATACATTACCAGATCAATAAAATTTACAATAAAAATATTTAAAAAATAAAAAATATACCATCCACATTATCATCCATGAGTCAAAACTAAAATTTTATTTGTTAATTACACATACAAATTATATTTTAGTAAAAGATTAGATTATGCATAAAATCTTATACATAAATAATTAGGTTTGAAGGCTTCTCATGAAGACACCTAAACATCCACCTCATCATACATGTGTCATTTTGTTTAATCCTCATTGGCTCTTAAAATCTTTATTTGTAAGTTATGATGATGTAAATAGAGAAATGCACTATTGACGATAAAGATAACTAATTTTACGTCTCATAATTTTGATTTTAATAAATATTTTAAGTTATTGTGTATTACAAAGTCATTAATAGTTCTATATATATATATATAAGTAATTAATAGTCATTATTGATTGAAATGATGCACTATATTATATTAAAATTCTTTATTACATAACAATGAAACGCTTTTTTTGCTATTCTATACGAAGGAACAAACAATTTTATGTGATCGTGTTTCAGAGTAAATCGAGATATTAATGAAATTTAGTAAAGTAAAAAATTAAAAAGAAAATTAAAACAAAAGAATTTTTTACATTCATTAATGTTACATCTTATGTATTTTCCCGACTATCGCATCAAATTAATTTTTATCTATTGTAAATGAATATAGTACTTATTTTACTACCTTACAAGAATATTAATAGGAAATGTCATATTAATAGGAAATGTCATGGGATTTCGTTCTAAGTTGTCTCTGAAATTAAAAAAAAATATCTTTATTATATTAAACACAAAACGTTATGTTATGTTGGAGTAAATGAAAATTAATTCGCTTCCAAAACTTTAATTTTAATTTAATGTAACTGATAAAATACAAAAATTTAAAATAAAAAACGGACAAGATGGTATAACTTCATATTAGTCCACTATGTGAAGAATACAAGAACTCATGTGATGCGTTTTTTCGGGGCCTTAAAAGCTGGTGTTTTTGATGCATTGGTATTAATCAAATATGGAAAATTGGGTTCGTCGTGAATAACAAAATCCACTCTCTCCCACCATCGCGATTAGAGGCCAACCGTAAAAGTCAGCAAGGCCGATAGTGTAATCGTGTTCCTGATGCCGGAATCCTCGCCGGAAATCTGGTTCATGTTCCTGTCGGGGAGATTCGGAGGAGTAGTAGAACTGCTTTCCTGATCTATCTCAATGTACATTAAAACCCCGAAATGAAATTTTCATTTTTTTTTGTCAGATTCTGATCTTGACATCGAAACCCGTTTCCGTAATGAGAAAGATGACGCTACGACGGAGAACGGCAAAGATCGGCGGTGAAGGGAAAAGAGAGAAGAGAGGTGGAAGAAAAAACAGGGAAAAAAATTATAGGGAGGAATATAAATAGGTTTGCATCAGATCATGTGGGATTAAGGACACATGACATTATCTGCATGCTTGTAGCTGCAATATCTTTTTTTCTCCGAGTGTTCACCTTTCGTTTTTGCTACTTCCTGTAATAAGTGATCATGTGGAAATTACAGAGTTTTATGTACGCAAATAGGACGAGCGACGGAAGGAGAGGTTTGTACGCGACTCCGGTGAAGAATACAGAGACATCCACCGGCACAGAAGAAAAAACGTTGTTGCAAGTCGCCGTAAAATGTTATTGCGAAAGGAACGCCAAGAGATCGAAGGATTCAAAACGACGATGGTAGGTGCCGAGTAGGAAGGATATGGTTCTTGAGAAATGTGGATGGGTTGTTATATGTATGTATAAATGTATATAACGATGTATTTGTCTATATATATATATATATGTGTATTTATTTATATATGTATATCTATGAATATATATGTTTGTATATGAATGTATATATATGTGTATATACAAGGAGACGAGAAATTAACAACGTGATAGGTTTGTAGAATATTATATATGTATATATGTATACTAATTGTATAGATTTGGAGGCTTCTGGTGAAGTCATCTAAGTATCCTACTTGACATTTTGTTTAATTCTGCTTGGTTATAAAAAAAATTATGGTAGAATTAAATGAAAAATTTACAAAATATGAAAATGATTAGTGCAAAATAAAATTATAAAAATTAAATGAAAAATTTTAAAAATAGAGAAATGATGAATCCAAAATAAGATTATAAGAAAAAATAATAAAATATATAAATGTATATGATTAGAATATTTAATTTGTATTTTTTATTGAATATAATAACTATATGATCATATTTGTTATAATTTTAAGTTTATATTTATTATATAAAAAAATTATTCTAATCTTTAGCAAAAAAAATATTAATAGATTATTATAATTAAAAAAAGTATATCTATATAGTAGAGAAAAGAAAATAGTCTCAAACTATGAAAAACTTCAAAATTATAATTTAATTTATTGTATTAATGATATTTAGTGAGTAATTATTAAAATAAATTAAAAAAAAAGACGTAGAAGACTCTATAATATATTTTCTATTGTATTTTTCAAGAATATAAAGCAAAAGTATCGGCTAACGAAAAATCAATATGTTGCAGAACCCATCATAATATATGGTAATATATATTTTCTATCTTTCTATTTTTATTTCTCTATTCCGTTTTTTGATGTTTCCTCTCAAGATTTATGTTTTCTTTAACAAATTATATATGTAAATTTGGCAATAATTCTTCTGATCGGAAAATACAATAGACATTCGAGAAATTTCAAATGGAGTGGATGGTGAGATTCTTCGAAAATATTTCATGCTTAGATGATATAGATTCGAGGTTATCAATGTCTTCCACCGGAAATGGAACGAAGACCTGGTGTTTCGGTTTTGACTTCACGACTCAAGGAAAGAAGAACACGTCTAAAACGTTCAGGAAGGATTACAAATATACGAATGGAGAAGATCTCGGATACCAGGGATACATCATACATTTCCGATCGTGGTCGAGGTGAACGAAAGTGTAATTCCAGCGATCCACCTCTGCAATTTCAGATCGGTAATGAGGACAACAGAACTTGTGATAAGAAACAAGTATCTAGATGTAGAGGTATATCATAGGTCGTCTTATGCGTATGAGGTTACGCATTAATTTTGAAATTCCTACAAAAATTTATAAACTTTCAAAAATTTACTGCAAATTTACATTCGTTATAACACCTTTAATTATTTAATAGATTCTATAATATGTCATTACGATACTGAAAAAAATAATATCATCATTACCAGGTGAAACAAATTCCAATTAAATAAATAAATATATATACATATATAATCTAGATCGTAGTATATAGATGTGCATATATATACATATGTATGTATTTTGTATTTTATATACTTTTATTATTTATTAATATATTTATATGTGTTATATTTTAATTTTTAAAAATTTAAACTAATAATTAAGTTACAAATATGTAATTTTAACTATTTTTAAAACAAACGATAACTATAATATTTAGTAATATTATTTTTAATATTACCTTAGAATTAATTTTTTAAAATAAATCATTATTATCGATCTCACACACCATTTATACAATGATATTAATATTTTATATATATTTTTGTTTTTTTTAATATATTATTTTATAATAATTTAATCTTACAATGTCTTTGTTTTATTATTTTTTTTGTCAAATGGAAGATGTTGAGTTGATAAAGGAATTGCAATTTTATCAACTATGGGAGAAAAAAAAACATCTACAACTATTTGCCTATTTGAACGGAAAAAAGTATTGTACGATGTACGATGTAATTATAGATTCTACCGTATAAACCATATATTAAACGAGAAAAATATTTTTAAAAAGAACAATAATTTCAGAGCCACGATAGCGAAAAATGATCGTATTTTCCATGACATCATCATAAAAAAGATCGTCTTTCTGTGATATCGTCACGTATTGCAACACTGATTTAATTCAATGGTAGAATAACTCACTTAAAATTCAAAATCCCATTAAACGTTTATAACTCTTCGACATACAATATAAAACAATGCACTACGTTGGCAGAATTATGATCTAAAATAGAATTGATAATCTGGTGTGAAATATAGATGACACATTTTTCCTCCCAAAACTTTACTTCTTTAACATGACAATATAACAATATAATGTGTAATGATGATTTTATAATAATTTAATTTAATTAATATATTTTATATATATATTAAATAAATAATTTATATCAATTTTTAACAATATTCATATTAATAAATTAATAAATTTTAGAAAAAAAAATCAATATATATTTTAAAAATATAACCCGCGCATCGCGCGGGTCTCTCCTAGTATTTTTGAATAATTCAATTGTATAAGATAAAAAATAGTAAAGGGTTTAAAATTGTGACAAAAAAGTATAGGTTTTTGCTTGACAATTTCTCCAATATTTTGTGATGAGTTTTTTTAAAGAAAATTAGAAAAGTATAAAAACAATATTTTCATTATTTCGTGCACTGTATCATTTATTTGACATATAAAAGTACATTATTAAAAAGAGACAAATTAGTTTTTTATTTTATTCTCCCTGTAAATGAAAGAATATTCATTTTTATTATGGTTTTAAACTAAAGATAACACCAGGAGGTTTTGTCCAATCCCTAAATTTTTGTAATTCGTTAGAGGCGGAGGTTTGAAATATGTAAAACACACTTCGGTTGGGATGTGAGAAATGTTAACGGAAGTTAAGAGAAAGAGGTTCACAAGCTACTATTTCGTTGATGGAAAATCTACATAATCTTTCTTTTACAATACGAAATTTGATTCGCAAATATCTAAAAATGATAAATGAAAATGATTGTTATGTAAATTTTAAGAAAATATATCGAAAAGTAAGCAAGTTATAGATTATTATCTAATCTCTTTTTTCTAATCTAGATTTGAGTCTCTATTTGGGGAAGACCATTTACATGGCATTCTCTCTGATCATTTTGAAATATGTAATTGGATCAAAATTTGATAAACTTCTGGATTATAAAAAAAATGTTGATTATTTTGTGAAATCTAGAGTAGGAGATGATTGGATTTGAAATGGTTGGATCATTTTATATCTATTGTCACGGTAAATCTAACGGCGGATTCGATAAAAATATTGTTCTCACATTTACTTAAATCAGTCCTAACAAAAAAAAAATAATACCAGAAATCCAATATATAGAAAATTTTGTTCAATGCACAAATAAGGGAAAGACAGAACAGATTACAAATCTTAATTAATTGAGAAATAAACAATCATTCCTTTTATAATCATAATGGTGTAGAAACGGTTAGAGAGAAGGGAGTAAACAAAGATGGAAGAATATCAGAAACTTCCCCTTTTCCCCACGCAGACAGGAAACAGAAAATAGTACCAATTAAAGAAATAATTATCTGAAACTGGTAATCAAATTAATTTAATCATTGACTCATAGCGCGTTGGATTTAAGATTTTCCCGTAAATAACATTCCCTTTCGTCTCCACAACTTCCCCCTTTCTCCCACGCGTTTCCCATAAGAACACAGTGGACTGTATAAATGTTCCTCCCATCCACCGTCATGTCTTCTCATCAACCTGAGATTTGTTCTCAGTCTCTTCCGTTTTCTCGCCAAGTTCCGATTTTTCCGAGACATTTGGTGGTTTTCCCTCGCCGATCTCTTTCTGGGTTTTGTTATTTCGTCGGTTTCTCATCTGGGTGTTCTCCAAATTCCGATCTTTCTCTCACCTCCGTCCGTTTTTCTCGGTACCCAAACAAGGGTCAGTGATACGTAACTCGACCATGGTTCGTTGCAGTAACAGCCTTGTCGGAATCCTCAACATCCTCGTCCTCCTCCTCTCGATCCCGATCCTCGCCGGAGGAATCTGGCTCAAGCTAAAGGGCTCGACGGAGTGCGAGCGATTCCTCGACAAACCCATAATCGCACTGGGAGTGTTCCTCCTGCTGGTCTCCATCGCCGGGATCGTCGGCTCATGCTGCAGAGTCACATGGCTTCTCTGGGTTTACCTCTTCGTCATGTTCCTGTTGATATTCCTCGTCTTCTGCTTCACCGTTTTCGCATTCGTCGTCACGAACAAAGGAGCAGGAGAGGCAATACCCGACATAGGGTACAAAGAGTACAGGCTAGGAGATTACTCTAACTGGTTGCAGAGCCGCGTGAACGACGCCAAACACTGGGAGAAGATCAGGAGCTGTCTTATGGACAGCAATGTCTGTGGTAGGTTCGGACTCGAGTTTTCTCTTCACACCGAAAGGGAGTTCTACCAGGAGAGTTTCTCCCCTATTCAGGTATTCTTTTTTTGTTCGGATTCATTGGAATCCTCTCCATATTTGATGTTCTCATAGGAATAAGAACACAGGTGCTCCAAAGTTGTCGGGATTTAGGGTTTCGTTTGTTTTTTTGGGAAATTCATGAAATCTTAAACCTTTTTTGTCTGGAATCTGAATCCTTACAACTTAAGACAGCCTATAGAAAGTGTTTGACTTCAAAGTACATAAAAGTCAACTTCTGACTCCTGAATTAGATGATTATAATATGAAACTTTGTGGTTAAACATTGAAACATTTCTGGCTGTGGTAACAGTCTGGTTGCTGCAAGCCATCAAACGACTGCCAGTTCAAGTACCTCGGCCCGACGAATTGGACCGAGCCAGCCGGGAGAGACGGAGGATACAAGAACCCGGACTGCCGAATCTGGAACAACTCTCCAGACAAGCTTTGCTTCGACTGCAATGCCTGCAAGGCCGGCCTTCTCGACAACATCAGGAGCGCGTGGAAGAAAGTTGCCATCGTCAACATCGTCTTCCTCGTCTTCCTCATCATCGTCTACTCGCTCGGTTGCTGCGCTTTCAGGAACAACAGGAAGGACGATTCTTACAGCCGCCACATTGGTTACAAGCCTTAGACAAGGAGTCTCTTTTCTGTTTTTAATCATACATATTGGTTAGACCCTTTAATAATAATAATGATAATGTGTTTTAATTACATTTGAGCTATCCATATTGGAATTTTGAATGTATCATACTTTCATGCAAAACTTTGCAAAAATGTTTCTAAGGCGTTTTATTATATGGTCTCACTTTATGCATAACAAATTTGGCTCCAAATGAGATTGGCATTGCATAGGCTTATGATCTATAACCCAAGTTGGAATTTTTGTTAGGGATGTAACAAAAAATTTAACTTCCAATGTTCAATGAAAACTAAAAGAGAATTTGTATTTAAAAATAATATATCATCAACTAGATTGTTATATGTCCGAAGGAATTTTGGATCTGAACCGTAACCTCCATTTTCTCTCTCATCTTTGATCTTCAGTGCAAGGCACCATGTGACCGCTAAAATTCATGACAGGACATGATCAAACGTAGAATGACCAATATCGAAAGTGGAAATCATCTACCATTTTGAGCGATAAAAGGTAGGGATGAGCACCCAGTCGGATACTAGCGATTTTTAGGACATCTAAACCCGATGAATTACATATGTTAAAACTGAAATTCAAACCCGAATCTTTTGATATCCGAATTGTATTATTTCGGATATCCCAACTCGACGGATTTTAGATATATTTTGATTAAAAATTCAAAAATCGATAGATTACATATAAATAATTTATAAAACCATTGAAAAATATTTATACAAAAAATAACTAGATCATAAAACCACAATTTTTTATTAAATAATGGAAAAACAATTAGATATTGATAGATATCTTTGTCATTTTCTAGTAACTATAAAATATATTGTTATTTTTCTACTTTTCAGATATCTACGTGTAATTATCTGACCCAAAAATATTATCCCGGATATTTTTATCGTATTTATGATGTAATTAACATTTTTTATAATGTGTCATTTTTATCAATCTGATAACGTTTTTAATATTTATAATGTTATTTAATATTTATGAACATTCATACATTTAGTTGATATTTAAATAAAACTTATATATATTTTTAAGAATTATAAAAAAAAATATGTATTTAGTTTAAATATGTAGCATATTCCATGGACTTTTTTTTTGATGAAATATTCCATGGACTTTTCTTAAATCTAATACGTTAGTTATCTATTCCCCACTTGCTTAGACCACTAGGAGATCGTCAAGACTACCACATGGAAACGGATATCCAATCTCTCAAAATCACATGCAACTCGTACAATTATTATTATTATTATTATTTAATTTAATTGAATGTGGATCGAATCCATCCAACACTATATACAGAACTATACGGTGAGTCCTTTTTAATATTGAATTTCTCATACCATATACATGAATATATACATTATATTATTTATATATATATATATGACTTGTTACTGAAGTATCAAGACACGATAAACAAACATCTAATGTAAGGAGTGAGGGAGATTTTGTCCTCGGAAAAGTACGGACGAAGCTACAAATCTTCCCTTGATTTAAGGAGCAAACGTATAATTAGACAGGAGATTATATATGTTTGTTGATAATTAATAATTATATCCAAAGCATTACCAATTAAATTAATTAAATTAGAAAACTTTAATGGCCTTTTGAGCTGTAAAGCTCTTACAAGTGCATCTCGTATTAATTACACATGGCTTATTTATAATTCGTGATCAATTCATGCATGCAATGCATGCACGCTTGTTAGGTTCTCTAGTTAAATGTTTCATTCATTAGAGTCTACGTGGATTGGTCTCTCATACCAATATTATATATATCTTTACACACACACACATATATATATATATAATATTTAACGTTATATATATATAATAAACTATCCAAGTCATGTTTTGTTGATTTTTTATTTACATCCGCGCCTATCTTTAGCGATTCCGTCTTTCATTAAAGATAATACCAATTATAATAACATAGTATATATATTTTTTAAAATGGTTGTCTCAATATATTTATATCTTACAAATAAATTTCGAACTCTTAACTCTTACTCCCTCCGTTTCAAAATATTTGTAGTTTTAGATTATTTTCTACGTTTCAAAATATTTGTCATTCTACATTTTCAAGATATTTTTTTTTACAATAGTTTCCAATTTTCTCTCTATTAAATTTTAATATATTATTAATGATAACATTATTTTTATTACTCCATCCGTTTCAAAATGTTTGTTGTTTTAACTTATTTCACATTTTTTAAGAAATGAAAATAAAAGTCATATATACCCTTTATTTAATAATAAAAACAATATTATCATTAATAATGTATTGGAATTTGGTAAGGATAAAATTGGAAATTATTTAAAAAAAATGTATTGGAAATGTAAAATGACAAATATTTTGAAACATGGATAATAATCTAAAACTACAAATATTTTGAAACGGAGGGAGTAGTAAATAAGGGTATATATAACTTTTTCTATTTTTTTAAAAAAATGTGAAATAACCTAAAACAATAATTATTTGGAAACGAATCGTTTTTGTTGGGAGAGAATGTAATGGGACATTTATGTAAATCAGCAACCGTCGACCCGGAGGGAGGCCAAGAAATGGGACCTACCGATGGGTCCTACAATCCACTGCGTCCCACCCATGTGTCCACACATGCACAATATATTGCGTGGGCGCGTGCGTGCACGAGCATTCCCCCGCAGTCGCCCGCTTCCCATGCGAGCCTCGTCCTTCTCCTCATCGTCACTCCGCTGATATCATATTTTCGTTATAAATTTTATTGTCTCTGATGTTGGGACACGCATATTGAAATTTTTATTTTATAATTTTGTAGGAATATATTATTATTATTATCATTATGATTATGAAAAATAAATGCTGTGACGACGAATTATGGGTGGTGGGCGTGTAGTGAAGACAATAATTGTGAAGATTCCCGTCAATTACGGAGGTCCGTGGGAAAGAAATTCCCGCCAGACACTCCACGTTCCATGTATTTTATGAGAAAATTCACCAAAGAAATGAAGATTTTTCAATAAATTTATAATAAAATTCCATGTCACACACACACACATACACATATACATATATCCTATGTTTTATTCTTAGGATGTTCTTATACGTATTTTTCTGAAAAGGCCTTAAAAGAATTTTGTTGTAGAGTTTAGTCCTCCAATCACTTAAATATCTAATATATATATATATATATATATATATATATAATTAAAAAGTAATTAATAATATATATATATATATATGTATTTTTTTCCTTTATGTGATGGTCAGACTTTCCCAAATTTTGCGGATCTTCACGTTTCCACTACAAATGCCATTACAATAATGATGTGTGTTTTCTGTCGCCGAAATCATTTCCCAGGCTCTATCTCCTGAACATGACTGCTTTCAATTTATTATATGCATAAAACAATCTATTTTTATTTATAATTATTTATATCATTAGCTATTGAAATGTGTCAAATATATGTAAAATACATGTTATAATAGTTTAAATTACGTGTTCGTAGTTATCGTTAATGTAACGCTCACTTACCATAACGAAATTCAAGATATCCATATCATCATCTTAGCAACAAGATATAGGACGATCGTCATAACTTTTGTGATTTTATTTTTCCAGTTTTACAGTAAGCTTAGTGTTTTTCCTTAATTTTCTTTTTAATGGAAACGGGTTATATTATATATTCGATAAATATTTTTCCAAAATTCTAGGGTTACAAAAAAAGGGGGACGTGGGTCAGCAATCGCATGTGCATGCATGTGCTCTAGCAATCTTCCGAAGCCCCACTATTTTCTTCCCCCTTTTGAACAAATAAATGGACCGTCTCCATCTCAAATCCATTCTCCTTACTCTCTCTCTCTCTCTCTCTCTCTCTCTCTCTCTCTCTCTCTCTCTCTCTCTCTCCTCTCTTCTCTCTCTCTCTCTCTCTCTCTCTCTCTCTCTCTCTCGTATCTGAAACCGAAGAATTTCACGGCTACATATTCAACGGAAGAAGAAAAGTCATCAAAATAAGGTAATCATTTCTCTTCTGCATGTCTCTTTTTGTTTCTTGTAATTGAAAGGAACGGTAGAACGAAAAATGTATTGTTTTGGCGATGTCGCTTCATGAAAATTAATTCACGCGTGAAGCTACAATGGTGTAAAGGTTAATGAATCTTGTCGAATTATACATGATTTCTTCTTACTCTCCTTCTTCATTTCCCCCTCAGGATGCGACCCCCAAGCTCTCTAAAGGAAGAATTCCTCAAGAAATGGCAAATGGGTCTTGAAATATTCCATTCATCAGTGGAAAACACGAGTGTCGTGGAACGTAGGAAGGCCATAAAGCTCACGGCCGACATCGCCATGGCTTCCCTCCGAAAGGGCACGACTTGTTGGAGCCGAGCCCTAATCGCCAAAACAGCAAACTCCAAAGACAAACTCAACAATCTTCTCGTTCGCCGGATTCTTAGTAGCATCCAAGCCGATAAGCTAATCAACAAGAAGCTGCCAAAGACGGTGTGTCACAAGAAGATCGTGAAACGGAGCAAGAAGTTCTTGAAGAGGAGATCATCATCATCATCATCACCATCGTCAAGAGATGACGTCATTCGGAAGATGGCGAAGAGTCTGGTGGAGAGGAAAACGCAAGGGCTGAGGAGTTTAGTCCCAGGAGGAGAGTTCATGAGAAACGAGTTCTTGTTGATCAGAGAAACCCTAGATTACGTAACGTTGCTTCAGATGGAAGTAGACGTTATGAGACGTCTTGCCGATGCTGCGGAGGCCGAAATGGTCGGTAAATGACAGTTTCTTTATAAAAAACGGCTCTTTACGAGATGAGCATCGGATCTTGATTGGTAATTTTCGGACAATGGGATGATATATACGAGGCTAAGAAATGTATAGTAAGCTGTATTTGTACATTACACCAAAAAAAAAAGTTGTATTTGTACATATGCAAGTTTGATTTCCACGTCGCGTTTTTCGCATAACGATTATGATCTACCATTGAGATAGCCCTTAAACTTCGACCGCGATGATTATAATTGACCGATGTCGGTTTTAATCGATAATCTATTTTTATTTTTACGGTTCACTTTCCTAGGTCAATAAAAAATTTTTTATCGGAAATGCACTGCCAGATATTCGACTGCGATTATCGCCTTCCTCACGCCTACACACTCTCCAATCTCTCACGCAAAACTGATTGAATCGACCGATATTTGAACGAAAGAACAAAAAGAGAAAGAGATCGACACACGGGGATTACGAGTTCAGGTTAAATAATGTGTTTGATCCTATGTCTCGGGAAGGGAAGAGAGAGAGCAATTCACTCTGAATCCAAGATTACCGATCCAAGACTGATTCTAGAGAGTTTCTTCAGAATATATTACTCGTAAAGAACCATAACAGAAAACCCTTTATTGGAGAAGACAATTTAGAGCCTCTGATGCATTCCGAGTCTTTTACTTCTTCAAAACCTCTGTACCAATCAGAGTTTCTTATGAGATGTAAAGGCATAATCCCACAGGAAACACTAACAGAAAAATAGATATCCATATTCAAGAATTTTGTATCAATTGGTTAAATTAATTAGAGCTAATATTTGGTAGAATAATCGGCCATGTTTATCATCCCGTAGATCAATGAGTATGCCAGTGTTAAAGAAAATATAGGACAAACAATTTAATTTAGAAGACTAGGAAAAGACCCGCGCGATGCGCGGATTATTATTTTTTTATATTAAATATATTTTTGTTAAATTTATTGATATGAATGGTATTAAAAAATGATACATGAGAACGTGGAATCAAAACTATTCATTGTTACCGTAGAATATTTAAATATTATTTTTTATTAGAAATTTAGATGTTCATATACATTCGTAATTAAATATATAGTATACTTGAATTTTATTTCGTTTCATATTGCTTTGAAGAAGTTAGTTTTATTATTTTATAAAATGTTTTGTATAATATAATTTTTTATGTAATAAAATATTCTCTGTAATTTGTAATTTATATTAGTAAATTAATTAAACAAATAAGATATTGAATAAAAATATTTTTTTATAAAAGACAATTTATAATTAAAATGCATTTAAAAATATCCATGGAAGTGAGTACAAAAAAAATAAAGTACATTTAAAAATATTCTCTATATTGGAGATGTTATGACTATGAAGTTGTTGAATTAAAATAAATGGTTTTTTTATTTATTTATATTTTTACGAATATAATGTAGAGTTATGTGGAAAAGTAAATATAAATTTGGTGTTTATATTTTTTAGGGGTGAGCAGTTCGGGAATCGGTTCGGATTCGGGATGAGAATGCATTGGTTGGGTTTTTTAGTTTTACAAAAATAGATACCAATCGGTTTTTATATAATATTCGGTTCAGTTCCGGTTTTTGTTAAAAAAATAGATTCCCTTTATAAAAAAAAATTGAAAATTTTTGAAATTCGGTTAGTTTCGTTTTGATTCTAAAAAATTTGATTTTTTAAAATTAATACCGTTGGAGAATTAAGAACGGTTTGGATCGGAATAAATATCGTATTTTTTGGTTCAATTCTGAAGAACCGAATCGAGACGTCCACCCCTAATTTTTTTTTTATTTAGTTCTTTAAATCAATATTGTATCCAAAATAATGTCATTCTAACTTTTGAATCTTGATAATCTATATTTTATATTTTGTTAAACTTAAAAGTCATTCATTATAGTTTTTAAAATTTATTTATATGAATTTTGTATAAAATGATAAACTTATTTATTTAATACATTAAGATATATCGATAAAAATTAAATTATTATACACTTATCATTACACATTATATTATTATATTGTCAGATTAAAGAATACTCAAATATATTCCCCGGTTCAAAAATTTTTTCCCCAAATGAATACTAAAAAAAATGACGTCATCATACCGTTAGTTTAGTGTGAATTGACATTGTCGTTTCACCAGTTAGTGTACGCATAGGTTGCCATATCAAATATTTTGATATTGATTTAGATATGAACCTGATTTAATATTTAACTAATTTACTGAACCCGGTCTGGTTAACATTGATTGAAAACAAATAATCCTACTTTTTTTTTCATTTTACTCTTTCTCATTTGATCGCAAACATATTTTGGTCAAACTTTCTGATTTGTTCTGATGATTTTCTATGATGATACAATCCGTCGCAACTATTCCATCTCCAACCTCGTTTTTCGATTCCACTGTCGAAGAAGTTTCCTCTCGAAGACGTCTATTCTCCGAAGAACTCTGTTTATGAGTAATCTTTCAAATTCATCGAAAACATAATCAAATAGATTTTCTTTTAAAAAAATCGGATTTTTTTTAAAAATTCATTTATGTGAAATTAGGTGTTCTAAAAATAATAGCGTTCGAGAATTTAGAACGATTTGATCGAAAAAATACCGTATTTTTCGGTTCGATTATGAAGAATCGTATCAAAATGCTCACCCTTAATATTTTTTTCGTTTAGTTTTGTAAATCAATACTGACATCCAAAATTAATGTCATTCTAACTTTTGAATCTTGATAATCTATATTTTATATTTTTTTAAGCTTAAAAGTCATTAATTATTTTTTTTATAAAATGTTTTGATTTGAATTGTGTAAAAAATGATAAACTTATTTTTATTTAAATACATTTAAATATATTGATAAAATTAAATTATTACACACTTATCATTACACATTATATTATTATATTTTCAAATTAAAGAATACTCAAATATATTTTCCGATTCAAAATTTTTTTGCCGAATGAATAGTTAAAAAAATGATGTCATCATACCGTTAGTTTAGTGTGACTTGGCATTGTCATTTTACCATGTTAGTGTACACATAGATTGCCATGTTAAATATTTTGAAATCGATTTATATATGAACCCGATTTAACATTTAACCAATTTAATTGAACACAGTCCGATTAACATTGACCAATTTAAATAAATAACCCTATTTTTTTATTTTACTCTTTCTCATTTGATCGCAAATATGTTTCGGTCAAACTTTCTGATTTCTTCTGATGATTTCCTACGACGATACATTCCGTCACAGCTAACTCCATCTCCAGCCTTGTTTTCTGATTCCATTGTCGAAGAAATTCTCTCTCGAAGACGTCTATTTTCCGAAGAATCTTGTCTATGAGTAATCTTTTAAATTCATTGAAAACATAATCAAATAGATTTCCTCTAAAAAAAATTTTCGGGATTTTTTATAATTCCGTTTCCAAAAATTCGATTTTCTAAAAATAATATTGTTCGGGAATTTAGAACAGTTCGGATCGGAAAAAATATCGTATTTTCGGTTCGATTCTGAAAAATAGAATTGAAACGTCCATCCCTAATATTTTTTTATTTTGTTCTGTAAATCAATATTGGTATCCAAAATTAATTTTATTCTAACTTTTGAATCTTGATAATCTATATTTTATATTTTGTTAAATTTAAAAGTCATTAATTATTTTTTATAAAATTTATTGATATTAATTTTGTTAAAAAAATTTAAACTTACTTATTTAATATATTAAAATATATTGATAAAATCAAATTACTATACACTTATCATTACATATTATATTATTATATTGTCATATTAAAGAATACTCAAATATATTACCCGATTCAAATTTTTTTCCCAAATGAATACTAAAAAAATGACATCATCATACCGTTAGCTTAGTTTGACTTGGCATTGTTGTTTCGCCATGTTAGTATACACATAGATTGACATATCAAATATTTTGAAATCAATTTAGATATGAACCTGATTTAACATTTAACCAATTTAATTAAATCCGCTCCAATTAACATTGATCGGTTTAAAACAAATAACCGTACTCTTTTTTTTTTACTTTACTCTTTCTCATTGAATCGCAAATATGTTTCGGTCAAACTTTCTGATTTTTTCTGATGATTTTCTATGACGATACACTCCGTCGCAGCTAGCTCCATCTCTGACCTTGTTTTCCGATTCCACTGTCGAAGAAGTTCCCTCTAGAAGATGTCTATTTCTCGAAGAATCCTGTCTATCAGTAATCTTTCAAATTTATCGCTGTCTATCAGTAATCTTTCAAATTTGTCGAAGACATATCACATAGATTTGTTTTTAAAAAAAAAATTGGGATTTTTTAAAATTTGGTTCCAGAAAATATTGGTATCCAAGATTAATGTCATTCTAACTTTGGAATTTTGTTAATCTATATTTTATATTTTGTTAATCTTGAAAGTCATTAATAATTTTTTTTATAAAATTTATTGATATGATTTTTGTAAAAAAAATGATAAACTTATTTATTTAATACATTAAAATATATTGATAAAATTAAATTATTATACACTTATCATTATACATTCTATTGTTATATTGTCAAAATAAAGAATACTCAAATATATTCTCCGATTCAATTTTTTTTTCCAAATGAATACTCACAAAACTAATGCCAAAATAAATTTATTATATAAAAAAGATATAAAATTTTAATATAAATATAATTCAAATAAAAATCTTAATAATATATAAAACTATTATATAATAAAGATAAGTTTTTAAGATTTTAATAATTTATTGAATATTTTTGTGAGCTTCCTAATCCACAATTTTTTATGTGTAAATATTAATGCTAATCACAGTGAATGTTTATATACCTAATGAAGATTTGTATAAACCAATCAAAAGTTTTAAAACATCCATGTAGGATGCTTAGGTGACTTCACCACAATTCTTTAAACACAATTATTAATATATATAGATTAGAGGAAGACTCGTCGATGCGCGGGATTATTATGTTGATATATTAATTAATTTTTTTTATAAAATTTGATCATATGAATGTCCCAAAGCGGCGGTTTACTATTCATTTTAGATTTTTCCGACTATTGGATTTAAAACGAAATGAATATAAAACAAAATCTAAGTGAATGAAAGACTATTGGATTTACTATTGGATTGTAAAGTTTTTATTTATTATATAC